GCAGGCAGCCTGCCGTGATTTATCTCCGAGCTTCATCTGGCAAACCTGCTGATGAAACCAGTCTCCTTTTCTCCCCGCCTCATCAATTTTCATTCTGACTTCATTTTGCTTTCCCCTTAGAAGGGGCTCGGCCTGTCCCCGTATGTAACTGGCCTGCTCCCCATTCCTCTGCCTCCCTTTCTCCGCAGCCCATCAGGCCTCTCCCACCTGCACTGTGTCCTGGGATCCCTCTCCCTGCACCATGGTCTCACACGCATCTTGGAAGTCCTGCCCAAGCTCGCCTCTCTGACTATTGGCTCTGGGGCCTAGCAAAGCCACTGTCTCTGCCATGGGGCACTCACCGTCAGAGCTCTAGATTCTTAAAGTGGGAGAGAGATGCAAAAGTGATTAATTGAGTGGGATGGGAGGCTCTCAGAGAAGATTTCTTGAACTGCAGTATAAACGTAGAGCCTGGAGATGGAAGGAATGCCCCAAGTCACAGCAAGGAAGGGGACTTCGGGGCCAGGACTCCGCGTGTGCACAAGCACGGGGACAGGAAAGGCCGTGGGCTTGCACCTCTCTAAAGTCTTCCATCTCCTTCCCCCTACCCTTGTGCCTAGTTCCCAGGGATCACTGCAGCCAAAGGGACTCCCTGCTGCTCGGGCTGCAGGAGGGGCCTTTAAAGGGTGTTGAAGGGTCTGCCTAGCCTGCCCCCTATCCTGCCAGAAAGGAGCCTGGAGATGCTCAGGGGCCTACAGCAGAGCTTGGCTGTCCCTCGGATTTGTGACCGTGGTCACTGTGGGACATCTGGGATGCCATCAAGCTGGGGCATTTGGAACTCTTCTGAAAGGGCACTCTTCACCCTCCCAGGGAGCTGGAGCTGGGATGTTAGCTGGGTGACAGTGGTATCGGACATCTGTGATATACAAGAGGACTGAGACCCAGAGCAGGCCTGGAGACAAAACAAGGCATTCAGCTGGGGGTCTGGAGAGTGTTGACCTAGGGGAAGGCCTGCAGTGGAAAGGGTCCTTGGAGGAGAGTGCTGCCCTGGAGAGCAGGTACCCTGCACAGCTGGGCTGGGATGGCCTAGCACAAGTTTGGTTGAGAAGCTGAGGTGCAGCCCTGCCAGGGAAGTGTGCCCCTGACAGTGAGGTGGATCAAAAGGGAAAGAAACTGCTGAGCACCGGTCGTGCAGACGTCATCTGGGCCAGCCGGCAGCATGGTAGTTAGGGTGACTGGATCCCACATGGCTAACTCCACAGTCTGAGTCCCAGATCTAGTGACTTGAAAATCGCACCAAGTACATGTACAGGGATACCCAAAATCCTGAGAGAAAAATGGAGGAGAAGAGATGATGGCATGGCCATTCCCTTTGTGGGGGTGATTTCTCACTTTCTCCCTCTCTCTCCCTCTCTCTGTCTCTCTCTCTCTCTCTGTTTCTGGCAAACACATATGCCCTATAGCAAACTTTAAAAAATAAAAAATAAAATAAAGACATCACCCTTTTTAAACACCCCCCTCCCCATATGAGGCAGGTCTCATCTCCTACAGAAGAAGAACCCACTTTGAGGGCGCCGAAGACCACACAGCCAGCAGCAGCATTCCGGTGCAAATCAGACTCCAACGCCCTTGCTTCCCCCACTAGCCTGAGCTTTGACGTTCTCCGTGGAGTCCACAGGATTTTAGGAGGGGGAGCCTGAGAGATCCAGAAGGTGGATGGTCACCATAGAATCATGTCAAACCCAGAGGCAGAAACTGGAGGCTGAAAAAAGTGTCTTTCCACCCAGGAACCATTGATTTAGAGGGGCTAAAGCGGCCGGAAACAAGGCATGGGAGCCGGGGTGTGCGCAGGGAAGACAGACTCTGCAGGATGTTCGCCTCTGGCCAGTTGGCAAGGCAGGAGGCAGAAGGGTCTGAGCTCTTAGACAACTGGTCCCCTGCCTTCCTCTTCCCTTGGGTCTGAGTCTATTTCGTGTTGCTACAACGGAATAGACAGACTGGGTAATTTATAAGCAGTAGTAGTTAATGTGGCCCACGGTTCTGGAGACTGGAAAGGCCTGCATCTGAGGCACCATGAAGCAACATGCTGCTTCATTCCGTGGTGAAAGATGGGAGGACAAGAGAGTGCAAGGTAGTGTACATGCAGGGAGCCAGCAGGCTGAGCTCACCTTTGTAACAAACCCACGTTCATGATAATGAACCCACTCTCGCAATGACAGCGTGAGTCTGTTCTTGAAAGCAAAACCCTCATTACCTAATCCCCTCTGGAAGGCCCCACCTCCCAACACTGCTGCACTGGGGGTTAAGTTGGCCACCCCGCAAACTCTCGGGGACACAGCCATACCTAACACTTTGCATGGTCCTTCCATGCCTTTCTCTCTTTTCTCTTTTATTTGCTAGAGAGCACATGTGCTTGCCAGAGAGACACAGAGAAGGAGATAAAGAGAAAGTGAGAAAGTACCCTTCCCTGGGGGGATGGTCATGCCACAGCCCCTTCTCCTCCAATCTCCTCGTGGGATTTTGGGCATCCATGCACATGCACCAGCATGTTTTTCAAACCACTGAGTCCAAGACTCAAACCAAGCAGTGTGCTATGTAGGATCCAGTGCCTTAAGCTCTATGCCAGCTGGCTGGCCCACCTTCCCTTGCCTTTCTTCCTTCTCCAGATGTTATCTGGGCTCCTCCTGTGTCAGATTGTCAAAACGCTGGCAACATGGAGCACAGTTCCTGCTCCTGAGAAGCTCCAGTCTGGTGGGAGAGACAGACAAACCAGAAAACAGCCCATTTATAATGGAGGGTCCCTGGGGTACTGTGGAAGCCCACAAGGGGTACAAGAGTCAGAGACAGCTTCCCTGGGGGCCAGCAGCGATGATGGGACAAGCCTAGGGCTGCTCCTTGGGCCCGGGCAGGCTGGCCCTTCTCTCTGAAGCCTGCTTTGGTGCAGAGCAACCAGGCAGAGATGACCATGTGCTACTTACCGCTCCTTCCACTCCTAAGAAATAACGAGGGGCTGGCAGATGGCACAGCAGTTAAAGGTACTGGACTCCCACGTGGCCGACCATGGTTTGAGTCCCAGACCTGGTGATTTGTTCTCTCTCTCTCTGTCTCTCTCTGGTCAAAATGGAAAAATAACAATAATAAATAAACAATTATTTTTAAAAATTAAAAGAAAGAAAGAAATAATGAGGCAAGCTTGCTTCCAGGCATAGCTCTGACACGCCTGCCTGAGCCAGCCCCAGAGCTGGGAATAGAGATCCCTGCCTGGGGACAGGCCTCTTCCCTCCAAGGCCCAGGAATGCTGACACCATTCATTCCAGACCGGGAGTGGGGTGAGGTGGCGGGGGGACAGCAAGAGACTGGGACACAGTAAGGAAACCATTGCCCAGAAGCCCTCCAGCTCTCCTCCCCTACTCTCCTCCAGTCCCTTCCCATCGTGTCACCCTAGAGATCAGACCTGTTTTTGGAACTGTGGAAAAAGTAAAGGCTGGTGAATGAGGTGCCTCTGGGTTCAAGTCCTGGGTGTTCCACATACCAGTCATGGGGTCATGGTCTGGTCCTTTACCTCCGCTGAGCTCCGATTTCTCATTGCCCTTGAAGGGTTTTGAGGAGGATGGGCTGTGGTATGTAAGGGGCTAGCAAATAGAAATCCTGACACAAAGAAGACCCTCAAGAATGCGTCACATCTTTCCTCAAAGACTTTGCTTTACGTCCTCATCCCAGTGGCATTGGCTAGAAGTGAAGGGACTTGTCTTGCTGAAAGAAGGATGCTCAGTAGAATAAGAGTTTGAAAGCTTTTATAGGTATAGCCCGAAGTAAAAATGCCAGCATTATGTCCCTGTACACATGTGTGTGTAAAATGAAATGGGGGAGCTTCTTAAAACATTGCTTAGTCTAGCTACATGCAAAGAATGTGCTCTGATATTTGTATTCTATTTCATTTTTTTAATGCAAATGTGACCCACTTCAAATTGTTTTCATGACCTGCTAATGGATTGCATTTATGATCACGGCAGAACACTCCCCACCCCAACTACTTAACCACCCCCAACACCTGTGGGAAAGCGCCCTGAGCTAGGTGAGTAACAAGCCATCCTTTCCGGTAGGAAGGCAAACCCACAGCCTAAGGAAGAGAAATCGTGCTCTAGCCCAAGTCTAAGGGACAGCTCTGGGAGTAACTCCCTTTCTCTAAGAGAATCAGGGGAAGTATCGCAGAGGAGGTGGCGTTTGGGTTGGGTTGTTATGGCTAAAGAGGGGTTTGACTTGAAGTTGGGGAAGGGCATAGTAGGCAGATCCAAGGCCCTTGGTGTGGAAGGAAGTGGCGAGTCTGGTGTAAGGGGGCGTGGGATGACGGGGAATGAGAGGCAGCAAGGGCAGCAGTGAGGAGGTCACTCCAGGGTGAGCAGGAGGGACCAAAAAGACCACTGCGAAGGTCAAGACCAGCAATGAAAAGAGGAGGTAAGCATGAGGGCTTTGGCGTGAGTGCGAGGTGGGAGAGGGCTAAGCAAGACAGCAGAGACTTCCAGCCTTAGATGCTGGAGAATGTTGGTGCTGATAGAGATGGGACCAAAGACGTCAGAGCAGGATGGGTGGCGGGAGACAAGCTGAAGGTGGGGAGCCTCAGAGACTGCTGGGGAGGAGGTTGGGACAGTTGGAAGTGTGGATCTGGGCCCCTCCTCTGGGCCCCTACTGATTCGTCCTCTTGCCTAGTGCTCCAGAATTCTGTGATGAAGACCCAGGCTGATGGGGCCAGGAGGTCTCCTCAAGGCAGCTTCGCATTCCCAGGCTTAGCCACAGAGATCCCCAGCAGAGGTGGGGCCTTACAGTGTACGGCAGCTTCCAGGTATGAGAACTCTAGAAAAGAGTCAGTGTCACTTCCTGGAGAGCACCAGCAAAGCATGAGACCCTGGGAACTCTAACCCACATTGAAGTCGGAGGATGAAGTCAGTGGATTTGAAGTTGTAATGCCAGAGTTGCCTGATTCCAAAGATACCGGCCCCAAGTTGCAATAGAAAAGGAAAGGGGAGTTCTGGGTTCCAAAGATGAAGCTGATTGGACCAGCTCCGTGGCCTGGTGATTAAGGCAGCTGGCTTGAGAAGTACATCACGTATGTATGCACATGTGCTCGAAATCCTGAAAAGAGGGAAAGATGGATGAGAAGGGATTGCAGCATGACCATTTCCCATGGGGGTTGCTTTCTCCTCTCCCTCTCATGTCTGTCTGTGTCTCTTGGGTGAGTGCAAATTTTTAAAAAAATAAAAAAGAGAGGGCTGGCAGGTGGCATGGTGGTTAAGGTGTTGGATTCTGACATGGCTGACCATGGTTCGAGTTCCGGACCTCGTGGCATGCTTTCTCACTTTCTTTCTCTTTCTGTCTCTGGAGAGCACGCATGCCCTATAGCAAATTAAAAAATAATAATAATAATAATGATAAATAAAGTAA